GGTTCGAGGGCTGGCATCACCTCCAGCTGCCACTGCAGCGATGCTATGGCCTTTAACTCCGCACCAGACAGCCTGGGATGTAAATCTCAGTAAATCGGCCCAGAAGCAAGTAATAAAAATAGTAATATAAGATAACACTTAGTAAAACAATGGCCACTTGAACAAAAATCTGCCCCTTAATTCCCCAGTCCAGTGGCCACAACATGGGCTGTAAATCTGCACTAGCCACCCCCCAGCTCGGACCAAGGCAACAAGCTCCCCGGGTATTTCTCCACCTAGGCTAAGCCTGGGATGCCACCCCTCGGAAGGTGACACCATTGCAGTCAGGCCACAGGCGCTTCTCTGCGTTCAGAGAGTCAGAAAGTTTTTCTTCTCCCCAGGTTATGAAGTTTCCCCTTGCCTCCAGCAAGATCCTTGGAGGAACTCAGCCGCCACGGGGCCACCGCTGCCACGTTACCTGGCCCGCAGACGGTGGATTTAATGCCCGTTTTCTCCAGCACCGGTACTCTGTTGATGGCACCTTCAATGTGTTGCGTGAAAACATCCCAGTCCAGATCAAAGAGGCCAAAAGCAAATTTTTCAGATACCTGAAGGTGGGAAACAGGAATTGGGACACAAAATAGAGTACAGTTGGGGGTGTAAGAACTTCTCAGCTCTGGCAGCCTCGGAGACCGTAGAAAATCGAGGCTGCTTTGCAGACTCTGGTTTCTTTGGGTTTTCATGAACAGCCCAGCCAAGCCAAAGGCCTGGATCAGAGCTCGAATTAAGACACTTGGATAAAGGGATGATGCAGCAGAGCAGGGACTGCACGGTGGCCTCTAAATCCCCCCAGCCCAGCCTTTTCAGCTCATTCCTGTTGCCTCTGCACCTCATATCTACGCCACAGAGAGACCCGAAGGGAAGATGCTGTCCTGCGCTTTCCCCACCGGCCGCACGGAGGTTGGTACCCGCAGGAGCCGGGGGCTGAGGCACTCACGCCTGCGCCCACCCCTCCAAGGTGGGTTCCCTGGAAACCTGCCTCGTTCCCCTGGAAAATCTCCCGGCACCGCTCACCTCTTCCCAGAAGATGGGGTTTGACTCATATCCACCCACGGAAAGGGCATCGCCTTGGAGACGGAGATACACCGAGGCATCGTGATCGCGAACGTTTGGCATGTTCTGAAAAACAGGGAGGGGGAGCGGAGGGGTGAGAGGGGGCTGAGAGCCACGGGGAGACCCCGACATTGCCCCGGCGAGGCTGAGCGGGATGAGCTGGGGCTCTGGGGCACAGGGTCGGCACATGCAGCAGTGACCCGCCGAGGATGGGAGCAGCAGTGGCTCCGTGGACGTTCCCACAGCCCTGAAATTTGGGTGCCCACATTGCCCCAAGGGGAAGGCACCCAGGATAGCTCCAGCAAACCTGGCCAAACCACAGAAAATGTGGCTTACGCCTGCCTAATTAGCTGCTGGCAAACTCCAGCGCTGCGGGAAGGAGCCGTGCTGCGGGTGCATTTGCGCAGACGCCTGGGCAGCAGCACCTCGGCTCTCCGGCTGCTCCTCCATGGCACAGGCAGCACCGGGATGCTCGGGGGAGCGGGAGCAGCCACCGCGGTTGATCCCATCTTGGAAAGCATCCCTCCTCTGCCACTCACCTCTGCAGGAGGATGCAACAGCACAACACGCGGGCAGCAGTGCGGAAAGAATGAGGGATTTGTTCTCGTGAATAATGGATAGAGAAACATCTAGATGGCAAGGAAGTACTGGTGTAGGGCCCAGTGCAATTCATGTTGACAAATGGAACTAAGTGGATTGAACAGGAGACACCGGGGTCTGCAAGCTGCAGCCTCTTCTCCGAAAAGCCTCTTTCTCACCGTGTTTGTACGGCACAGAGGAGTTACTGGGATATAAATGTAATCATTGACACCAGCACTTTTTAAAATGAGGCACCTTGGACTAAAAAGTCAGACACAGACAGTGTCAGTGGGATGGAAACTAAATAACGTGTCATCCTCAAAGCCCTGGTGCCTGAGTGAATGAAGTCTCCTTTTTCTCCTGAACAATTCTCTGCAGCCGGACGGCAGGAACAGGTTTCTTGGGAGAGTTTAGAAACACTTGGACAGCTACACCTCTGCCTGCCAGCGACTGGGGCTTGTTCAGAAAGTGTTTGGCATCTTTATGAATGCTGCTATCAGACACCAAACACATCAGAGACCCTATAATAATTCTACTGAGACGAAAAAAAAATGAAGAAAATTATCCTGCTAGTCATAACATTGTTAAATATTAAATACAACTCTATTAAAGGTAGTCTGACAGTCCTGCTAGGAGGAGAAGCTGCTGCATTTCCCTGGGTGCCTGCAGAGCCTGGAATGTGGGGGGGGGGTCCTGCAAGTCTGGGGGTGCCAGGGGGCTCTGTCCCATCTCACCCTGCCACGTGCAGGGGGGCAGGAGCCCGCGCTGCCCTCCAGAGTGGAGGAGCCCATCTGCAGCCGCACGGGACTGACCTGAATGCCCTCGATGCGCTCGGTCACCACGTAGGCGTGATGCATCCCCACCAGCGGCACGTGCACACCGGCCAGCCGGCCCAGGGCTCGCGCCCACCCGCCTGCGGAGAGAGCAGCCCCGCGCTGAGCACCTCTCCGTCCTCCACACCCCGCCGGAGAGCTGCGGCGGTCTGGGGGTGACAGCCAGATGGGGGGGACAAGGACTGATGCAGACCTTCTGGCTCACGGGATGCAAAGCCACCCCCTGCCCTGCGGCCCTGGTCCCCCACCTTCCCCGCCGTGCTTTGCACCCTGTACCTGCGCAGTTCACCACGCAGGGAGTCTGGATGGTCCCGTGGGCCGTCTCCACCGCATACACCCTCTTCACCCCAAAATCGTCAGCTCTGACCTGGATGCTGGTGACCGGGCAGTTCTCTATGATCTGGTGGCAGAGGAAGCCCAGCAAAGTCACGGCAGAGTCACAAGGGCAGTGGGACAACCCGGCTTGCCTGACATCTAGCCCCCAAATCTGGAAACGGTGAATCTAAGCAGCAGTCTGGCACCGGCCATGTCCCTTTCCCAACAGCTATTACTGTTACTGCTGGTAACAACATACCCCTCCTCAGCTGCAGACTTAAACCGCTGCTCTGTGCAGGTGCAGAGGATTTTATTATTTACATGCACACGAGCAAAGCAATGCACCAAGGACGGGCTAGTAGTCCCTGCCTCAAAGAATGGATTGTGTTACCGGACCCTAAAACCTCCCTTCTCCCAAGGAACCTGCTTTGGGCACTGCCTCGTCTTGCTCCTAAAGGTCTTTTTTTCATCCTATATTTTCCCTGGATCTCATGGTTCCTGCCAGTTTTGTTGCTGTGACCCAAACAGCCATCAAAGCCGAACAGGACAACACCCTTCTTGGGCAAAGACTGATGCTGCAGGAGCAGCTCTGCTCCAGTGGGAAAGGAGGAGATGGGGAAGGCAGAGGATGAAATCTCCGCCCAGGGTCAACAGGCATTAATGAGTAATTACTAATTAGAAACTACCATAGCGCCTCTGGCAGTTGCTGCTCTGGCAAGAGTTGAGCAGGTACCAGCTGGATCCATGGTGCCGTCCTTGGGGACGTACAGCGTGCCGTACAGGTCGTCGATGTTCATCAGCGGGTACAGGTCCTTGGTCTGCGATGGGGTCAGGACGTAGGACTCCACACCGTACACCTTCCCCAGCTGCCAACCGGACAAGAAAACCGGGAGCTCAGGTAGGCAACAAAAGCTTTGCTCATCATTTGCTGCTGGAGGAGGAGGAGGAGATCCCCAGGACGTGTTTATCTCCCAGATGAGGTAACTGCTGCCCCAAGGCAAGCCCTAAATTCAGCGTAGGGTGGGATGGTCTGCACAGATTTCAGGAAATATGGTCCCGTATTTGCACGCAAGCTGCCTGTGCAGCTGGAAAAATGATGCTACCACTATCTGAAAGGGCACAAATCTGCGGTTGGATTTAATTTTGCCTGCTTTGCCAGCATTTTGCCTGATTTCAGCAGCCTTATGGCAGCCAGGAGGCTGCCCTGGAAGCCCACCCCAGGCCACTGGCAGCTCTCCGGGTGGGAAGGCAGAGAGGGACGGGCCATTTGGAGACCCGGGACCCCCAGCCCAGCTCCCGTGGGCAGGAGATAAACACCACCTCCTGCAGCCCACCCGGCTGGGGGACACACCGAGGGGCTTCTCCCTACCGACATGAGCCTCTTGTACTCATCGAGGCGCTGCTTGTTGGAGGCGATGAAGAGCCCTCCGTTCTCCACCCAGCCCGTGTGCCGCCCCGTCTCCGCCGGCACCC